ACGCTCTGAAGGCTTTACATCTAGTCGTGATTGTCCGTTTACATAGAGATAGAAATCGGAGTCGGGATTTTGTGATTCACTCTTGATATCACAGAAGTGAACCCTGATGAAGTGTCTTGAGCTGCTTTTGACCTTAAATGACCAAGTGACGTTCATCAACATTCCCTCTACCACCCCCTCGTTCGAGCTATGGTTCATCGTTTTAGCTGTCTGATAGACGAAATCAGGAGCAGTGAATTGCGTCACTGTTCCTGACTCATAGTTAGGCTTTTGTGTTGAGTTAATGTTCCTCGCAGAATCTTTTTCGTAGAGGAAGTCATCGTCTAATGACCAAGTTCTTCCCAAGGTGTCGTTTTCTGGTGTGATCTTCTTGCCTCCTACGTTTAATCTGTAAACCGTATGCAGATTCTTGTCGGAGTCTGACGGAATTTCTAGGTCATCTGGAGCAGAGAACACTTCGATGGCGTTGACGAAAGCCATGGATGAATGATCGGGCACAAATCGAATTTCGAATTCCGGCGAGTCAATCATCAGGAGAAACTCCTCAACTCGTGGGGTCTCATTGAAATTCTGAAGCGAGAAACTTTTCAAGTGAGAAGTAGCTGAGATTGTGAAACGAGCAGCTAAAAGCTGTGTCCGAGAAGAGACAGCAGAGAAATGGAGACGCACGAAGTGCAGACCAACGGAATCGAGTTGGAACTTGTAAGAAGAAGGGCTTGTGAATATCCTAACCATTTCGTAGATTCCTGATCCTGATTGGTTGATGGCTTCAGTTCCTTTCTTGGTGAATGAAACGGAGTTACCACCAGAGATCATATCTCCGACAAAAGTCCGGTTACCGTAAGTGACATTAGAATCCGACCCACAGTTGACGTACAACTTCTCGGGACGAGAATATGTAGAAGTAGTAGAAAGAGTGCAACGAGGAAGAAGAACAATAACCACCATCGTCATGAGAGAAACAGAGTTTCGAAGACAGAGTTTCTCCATAGCTTTGACGGAAAATCTAGAGAGAGAGAGAAAGAAAGAGAGTCGATAGTGAAAATCAAGTATTTGAGGTCAATGGATGAAGAAACATGTGGTCGATGTTCAGAGGATTGAGGAAGAAGATGAGATTGAAGGAGAAAAAGTAAAATTATTGGTGGGACAATAAGGAAGAAGACTGAAGTTGACTTTTCAAGTCTTCGTCTTTTGTCCAGAACTTAGTAATCGGTCAGTCAATGTTTCTACTTTCTGTTATCTATTTATTTGTTTGGTTTCTTTTGGCAATTGGCATGATACAATTTTCTTTATTCAAGTTTGTTTTATATGATTTGTTCACTGACTTTGTGATGCTGTAATCTGATCAATATTATCGAATTATATTTTTTATCAAAATATTTCTCAATCGTTAATTTATAAATTTTGGATGATGTTTTAACAGTAGATATTTTATACTGTCAAGTTTGAGCCGTTTGTTTTCGTTTCTCTTCTGGTTTTGGTGTCTATCAAGTCCTTCCATTTAACACAGTTTTGTTTATAGGATATACATCTCCCAAGAATAAAAAATAACAAAAAGTTGTGTACTTAAAATAAAAAAAGTAAAACAGTGGAGTATAGAGTAGTGTAGATTATACTATCAATTGCATCATTTACCTTTTGTTTTTTTAAAAAAAAAAAAGAATTAAGCAGTTATTGACCCAGTGTTCTTGTATTTTATTGATAAATTTCTTGTTTGTTTTCACCAAGTTTTTAAAATATAATCCATTGGTTTATAAGATGTCTTTTGATGAATACTCTTATTGGTTAAACCGAAGATTTTGTCATCGTGACCCTTAAGTATGTGTGTAGGGAAATCGGTCATCTAAATACCAAACTTATATGATTTTGCCAAAAAAAAATACAAACTTTGTAATAAGCCAAAAAACACCCGAACTTATATTGACCTAGCCAAATTAGATACTGACCTAGCCTAGTAATTTAGACCAAAATTACTAGGCAAAGACGAGCAGGCCATGGAACACATTTTGCTCGAATCTGGGATTACGAAGCAGAGATTCATAAGACTAATAAAGGAACCATTATGGATATTCAGACTATTCCAGGGCCAACACCCGGAAGCAAGCAAAGGTTTGATCGTATTTATGTCTGTTTTGAAGCACAACGAGTCACTTGGAAAACACATTGCAGACCTATCATAGGACTAGATGGTGCATTCCTTAAATGGGATGTTAAAGGCCTATTGATAGCTGCAGTTGGAAGGGATGGAGATAATAGAATTGTTCCTATAGCGTGGGCAGTAGTGGAGATCGAAAACGACATCAACTGGGGATGGTTCGTTAATCACCTTAAACAAGATTTAGGACTTGGTGATGGCAGATACATCACAATCATATCAGATAAACATAGGGTAATTTCTTCGTTCAATGTTTTTGGTTAAAAATGATGGGTTATTTTTGTTACATTTATAAACAAGATTTAGGACTTAAGTATGTGTGTATGTATACTCTCTTATTCAGATTTGAGTCATTTGACTATTGAAGAGTTTCAGTAGTTGGAAAGTGGAATGATTTGTGAGATGATTTTTTTTCTCTCATTCTGATGGCAAAGCTTGGGTTTTAAGCCTGTATATCTATAGCTTTAACTGGTCGGTGATCTTGATCGCAGCTAACTAATATATCTATCTGCTAAGTGAAATATCTGTCAATAAGCTAAGTAAGTTATCATTTTACTCAGCTAATTAATATTACCAAAAGAGAATAAGGATCAATGTTCTGAGATGTGTGTTGAATCTTAGTTCTTCATTTGGCAGAAGAATAATTGATTTAGTCGGAGCAAGAACATTATTACCTCTCTCAAATCATGTTTATCTAATAAATAAGAATAAGTTTGAGCTTTGTAAACAATCTTTCATTGTTCAATTACAGAGAAACACAAACATTGGCTAAAAACAGAGTATATGATAAACACACCAAACTAAACCAAAAACAATCACTGATATTTAGACTTTGATAAAATGAGTTGCCTTCTCCCCCAAGCTTCTTCTCTACCTATGGTCTGGTTGCTTCATTCTGTTTTTCAAAGATTCTTCATCTTGGGTTTAAGAACGCTATACAAACAAAAACAGCGTTAATTTTCACATACAATATACATTAACCCAGAAAATTTCATTATACTATACAATAGTCTTTAATCTATGAAATTCAGAAGATTACCTCTCTTAATGAGCTGTGGTGCTTCTGCTTCTGTGTTTGTTTCGGCCAAAAGGACTCGTGAACCACCTCGGTTTGTAGAAGGCCAATATGTATCCAATCGTCAATCCTAATACAATGCCAGGTCCAAATCCTATTGCAGCTGCAATCCAACTAAACACCTCTTCGTCTTCTTCCTCTGCCTCCTCCGGTGTTTCATTCTCTTGCGATGATGTCTTGTGTATATCTTTGCAAACTTCGTCAAGAGAAGGGCCAAAAAGTCCAGGGTTGTCTTCGAAGGAAGAGCAAGACTGCGTTCGGAACTGAGTGCCTCCAGGTACAAGACCGACAAGCTGGTTATGGGAAAAGTTCATGGAAGAAAGGTACGAGAGATTCCCTAGCTCTTGTGGGATCGCTCCTGAAAGCTTGTTTTGAGAAACGTCTAGTGACTCGAGAGCTGTCAGGTTACCCATAGATGATGGAATGTGGCCAGTGAAAGCATTGTTTGACAAGTTGAGCACATGAAGCTCTCTCAATAGGCCGATGGACCTTGGAATTTCTCCTTCAAATCTATTTCCGGAGAAGTCGAGTGCTGTGAAGATTTTCAGGATACGTACCAGCTCTAATGCTACACCTTTATTCATCAAAACCATTGAATCTTCGTAATAGGTACCTTCTCCCATGTAGTTTACATCCGACCGATCTTTTTCTGTCCCAAGTGATGACAATTTACTCCAGTTCACAAAGTAATCCGATGGCAAAACTCCGTTGAAGTAATTATGCGAGATGTCCATGATTTTTAACTGAAGGAAGGAGGCTCGATGTATCCGTCCATGGAATGCATTGGAGCGTAAGACAAGAATTTGTAGCTTTGGTAGAGAACTCAACCAAAACGGAAAGGTGTCGTTGAATCTGTTTCTTTCCACATTAAGAACTTCAAGGGCAGAGAAATGGATCAAAGATCTTGGAAGCTTTCCCACCAGTTGGTTATGACCAACGTCAAGGGACCTTAGACTTTCAAATACATTCTCCGGAAGGCCTCCGATAAGATGATTCTGACGGAGGTTTAGAACCGAAAGATTACTCTTGAGATTCTCCATACAAAGAGGGATTGAACCATTGAAGTTGTTTTCAGATAAATCGAGAACGCTTAGAGAGCCCAACGCGCATATGAAGGAGGGAATCTTTCCTGTGAAATTGTTTCTGGAGCCAGACAAGTACTCCACGGCAGAGGATAGTCCATGTTTCGTTGGTCTTTCGAAACTGACGAAAGTGTTGTTGGAAAGATTCACGTACGTCAGATTTGGTAGAGTCCATAACCAGCCAGGCACTTGACCTTTGATTTTGTTGTTGGCAATGTCTAGACTCCTCATTGACTGCTGGGTTCTTATGATCTCTGGAAATTCGGTAATACCGCAGCCTGACAAGTTTAATTCTCGTATCATTTGCGAAGGAGGATCTGAAACTGAGCTCTTGTTTTCGGCTGAAACATGGTTGCCTGAGAGATCCAATGTTTCCAGCAACTGAGAACATGATAAGATGGCATTCAAGTCAATCGTAGTGGTGGTGTTCAAATGGGATAAGTCAAGAATTCGGAGTGACTTGAGATGCGAGAAGATACTCAAGTCAATTGGGCCTAATTGGGTGTTCCAATTGGAAAGGTCAAGGTAATAGAGGTTGACTAATTTGGAAATGGATCTCGGGATTGGCCCTCTCAAGTTGTTACCGCCAAGCATTAACACGACTAGCTTTGTTGGTGAAGATATATTCCCAAACTCGAGAGTGCCGTTGAGTTGGTTATCTGACAAATAAATTATTCTCAAAGAAGGAATGGTGAAGAGAGAAGAAGGAATGGTTCCAACGAAATCGTTGTCACTTGCGTAAAAATTCACCAAGTTGGAGAGTGAGCTAATGTTTGAGGGAAGCGTTCCTGTGAGTTGATTGGAATCGAGTGATAAATCCGACAACTCTGTCAAATTTAGTAGCCAAATTGGAAAATTACCACTAAGCTTATTGAAACTAACATCTAACCTCGTCAAATTTTTCAAACTGGCAAAAGAATCTGGGATTTCACCAGAGAGTCTGTTAAGATAGAGGGAAAGATTTCCAATTGAAGATGGAATCTGACCCGAAAACTGATTAAGAGAAAGGTCGAGAGAGGTAAGAAGTGATAGATTTCCAATTGAAGATGGAATCTGACCCGAAAACTGATTGAAAGAAAGATCAAGAGAGGTAAGAAGTGAAAGATTTCCAATTGAAGATGGAATCTGACCCGAAAACCCGTTTTCAGAAAGGTCGAGAGAAGTAAGAAGAGAAAGATTTCCAATTGAAGATGGAATCTGACCCGAAAACCCATTGGAAGAAAGGTCGAGAGAAGTAAGAAGAGAAAGATTTCCAATTGAAAACGGGATTTGACCATGTAACTCATTCCGTGAAAGGTTTAGAGTGGTGAGAAAACGAAAGTTACGAAGCCTAAACAGACTGGTATTGGAACGAAACTTGCCGTAGAGAGAGCTGCATCTGAGGTCTAGCTCGATCACTTCCCCGGATTTGGCATCGCACTTGATACCATCCCAATAACAACAATCAGTATTATTTGCCCATGACTCCGTCTTCGGGTACGGGTTTACCCAGCGACCATTAACATAACACCGAAAAGAAGGCTTCCGAATCTCAAACTCATTCTTGAACTCGAGAAGTGCATCCCTTTGCTCCGGACGACACAAGTGTCTAGTAGGAGACGCAAACACGTCATGAAAATAAAAAACGAACAAGAGGAGAAAAGAAAGAGAAATATGAATGATACTCATTGAGTTTCAAGAGCCTTTCGTTTTTTCTTTAAGCTAATTTTTAACTTTCTTGAAAATCAATAGCGAAAAAGAAGCGAGCAAATGGAAATTGTGATGGTTAAATTGGTTTCATGCCATCTCTTTATATACATATAGTCAGTGCTCCATTTCCACTCAGCTTCGCTTGGCTCACCATTTAGTCCTTCGTACGAAGTGTTATTCACGTTGAAAGAAGAGAGTGAAAAGTCTTTTGTGTTGAATAGTTTCCACACATTTTGGTTTAACTTATACTACAAGAAATTTCAATAAGTCGATGGATGAAGAAACCTGTGGTCGATGTGAAGAGGATTCTGAGGAAGTTGATAAGATTGAAGAGAAAACTGAGATTTTTAATGGGACAAGAAGGAAAAACACCAGGGTTGATTTTTCAAGTCTTCGTCTTTTGTCCCTAGAAACACATCACTCTCTAATTTTTTACAAAATATCATAAAAACCAAAATTCTTAAAAATCCAACATGATATAATAATTATAATTCCTAGAGCACTTCAAGATTATAAAAAAAAAAAGAATTGTAAAAGTACAAATGTAATACTCAATATACAAACACGAAGATAAGTTGACTCTGGGAAAAATGATATGTAGTGGATTGCAAAACTTACAAGAAATATTATATCACATTGTAATGAAAGGGAAATATAAGTAGCTGTGCAACAATACAAATATAGAGGGTTGCAAAAATCAATAGATCATACTGTGAAGAAACGGAAATATCAGTATAAGCAATATAGTTTACTTTTAGTTAATTTCAAAATATACAAGAAATTTTAAGGGATAATTAGCAAAATACACTATTTAAGTTTCTGAATTAGTAAAATACACCATTTTTTTTTCTTTTAAAAACTACACTTTTGATTTATGTTTAAAGTCGTTTTGACCAAAATTTAACTAACACTATCTATTTAAATAAAAAGAAAAACTCGAAATAATAATTATTATGATTGAATTTTTATTTGAGATAAAGATATCTCATTAATCACATTAATTAATTGGATAAATCTTTAAAAAAATTTCAACTTTATCTCGATAAAAATTTTTTTTTTTTCAATTTGTTATATAAACAAGTCGTTGACGTCTTTCTTTTTCTAAGAAAAAAAAAACAGAGAAGGGAGCAGAAGAACAACACAGCAATACGGTATCTCGATTTGTGATGCTTTCCTATATTTATTTTGTTTTTTAGTTGCAATGAATGATTTGGTTATTAAAAATTACCACATATTTGAATTCTTTTCTTCTTTTTCATAGGTTTTGTTAGAGATGGAGTACAAGTTTCAGAAAGAAATTGATGGAAAAAGAAAGACAGAATTAGATCACACATATCCGAACAAAAAAACAATGAAGAAAAGTGATATCAAAAGTCTACCCAAAGTTCTCACAAAACCAGAGAAACTTTGACTGGAGCGGTGAGTTAATTGATTACTATAAAGGTGTTTTACCAAGGTGTGAAAGTACAAATAAGAGACTTGGCGTTGATGTCGATGATGTCTACCTTGTGCTAAACATTAAAAGTGTTCATTGGATTGCTTTGGCTATCTCAATTCCTCACCAGCATATTGAAGTGTACGACAGTATCATTTCGCTAACTAGCGATGATGAGATAACAGAGTTGGTGAGGCCATATGCACATATGCTTCCATATCTTCTCAAATCATTGGCTTCACCAGCTGACCAATACGGATTAAGTACTGATGAGTACACAGTATCAAGATGTAGAAGAATTCCACAGAACACTCAAACGGGTGATTGTGGAGTATATGCTATGAAGTATATCGAGTGTCTTGCCTTAGACATAGATATGAATGTTGGACTGTCAGATGAAAACATCAGTGATATCCGGCAAAAGTTTGCAACGGATATGTTCGGAGAAGCCAACCATTTTCAGAATCTTTAGATGTATTTTTTGGGTTTTGAGTTTTAAGAACGTATTCTTCTTTTCTTAGTTTTCTTTTATTTGGAAGTTCTTTTCTTATAATTGATTCATTGATTCTTATTGTTTGGTTTTTCGTTGGATTGCTTCTCACTTGGTTTTCCTATTTAGTTATATTTTTTTTTTAGAAATCTAATAGATGAATCACATTGTGATCTTTACATTACTCTTTTCTTTAGATACTTTTTTGCTTTACTCATAAATCTCATAAAAGAAAATCTTGCAGACTTCACAAGACTTTATAAAAGAAAATCTTTGTTTCTAAAACGCTAATGAAACTCTTCCCCGAAGGTCAATAATTAAACTTCTCGTCCCTTGGCATTAATCTCAAGCTCTTTGATTCTCACTTCAAATTTGCTCAAACCTTTGCTAGACTCAGCTTCTCTGTTCCTTCTATGTACCTTATCGAAAACAAGAAGAGAACCAGCAGCATCACAAGCAGAGCGAAGAGACTGGAGCAAATCTCGTTTGCTAATCTTGCAAAATCAAACTTTATCCATTTTCTCTGTTTTCTTGAGCTATCATAGCACTATACGAACCTGTTTTTCTTTTCTTTTTCTGCAGACTAAGTATAGTCTGTATCTTGTGATGGACTTCATAAACGGAGGGCATTTAATTCTTCAAGCTCTCTCACCAAGGGCTTTTCAGGTTTAGTTTAATTCCTTTTTGCAACTATTATAGGACTGACTAGTTCTATGTTTTGTTTTTCATAGAGAGGACTTGGCTCGTGTGTAGACTGCAGAAATTGTCTTTGCAGTTTCACATCTCCATGAGAATGGAATAATGCACAGAGTGTTATTACTTTTGATTATCAGAAAAAAGTCTAATAAACACTGTATTGAAAATAGAATCTGAAAACATTGCGTTTTACTCTTCACTCTTCAAAACGGAAATCAAACACAAGAGAAGAATCTAGATTCAAAGAAGGGAAGATGATCTACGTTCATAAAGCGTCTCCTATCTCCTTCCCTTTATATGGAGATATGTGGAGAGAGGATCATTTGTTGAACAGCCACAATCGCTTCTACATTCATTCAATCTCTATATGATGAGAACAATATGCAACATACAAAATCAGATATTGCACTCGGATGACTCAAATCTAAGCCAAGATCAGAAGCAATAAACTTTGGATTACAAACGTTTTCACGTTCAATAAACAATTTCTGATACATTATAAGCAGAAAGTCTTTTTAGCAATCCAGTTTCTTTAAGCACAAGAAAGCAAAAGAAGAACACCAAAAATAGAGATTCATACATCCTGAATGATGGTAATTTTGTCCCTTGAGAATAGTCCATGACCTGAAAACAGAAAACCCCATCACATCATATGAACGCACAACCGGCGAGGCTATAAAAACTTGAAATTAAGTGTAACTGGGACGCACACACAGACGGAAGCAACAATGGTTTCACCTGTAAAGCTGTTCCATCAAGACCACAAGAGCTATCTGATGATTCAGAACCATGGAGGAAAGTCTAATGGTCACATTAGCTCGCTTCCTCACTTATCTTCCATGTCCATAAGGTCCACCTATACAAAACGATATCCTTGAAGCTCCCTGAAAACAGATATGGGTGATGTAAGAACAAAGAGAAGGTATAAGCTTACACTATTTCCTGCATCGCCTAGTAAATCAGCCATCTGCTCTGAGTTAATGTCACGGCCTCTCTCGTCAAGCACCACAACCTAAGTCACACAACTAGACTCATGCAACATTAATCAATGCAGACTATCGTTTTCAGAATGAAAAAAAAGCAACGATCAAATTACCAAGTTGAGTCTGTCTCATTGAGGCAACATACTTTGAGCGATCAAATGCATTTCGAGGATTGGAGCGAACCAATGAATCTTCAAAAAAGCAATAAGGTTTAAACTTGATTTTGTTCAAGATCTTCAATTTTCTCATTGATTTCAAGAACGGTAATGCACTTACTAGTATTACTGATTTGGAAAAGACCAAGAAAAAAAGGACGCATTAGCAAACTGGTGATATAAGAGAAATTGAAAGAGAGAGTCTGCATACAAATAATATAAAACCAGAATATGTAAAATCCCAATTCAAGGAAGAGTGAAAAAAGTTTACGAAATGAAAAACAGAGTTTCAAACCAAATAAAAAATAAAAATCAAATTCCAAAGTCACATCTCGCACGATTGTGTCCTGAACGATGACATCTTGAACAACATTGTTTGCGTGCTTTTTTCCTCATTGCTTGTTCTCCAACACTTTGATATCTTCTTTTTACGGGTCTTTCTGGTTTCCTTCGGACATCTGGAGGTAAGCATATCTGACCAACAATATCAGCAGGTATTTCGCTCAATTCTGAAATATCACCTACAGGTCTTATGCTCTCTGAATATGCAGCACACAAGTATGACTTTGAGTAGTACGGATGTACATATAACCCAGGGTCTATGCCTCGACTTTTTGCAGCTTTAGCAGCATGCTTACAGGGGATCTTATCAATACTAAACACTTGACATGTACAAGTCATCCGTTGTAGATCAACCAAAAAATTTTGGGAGCCATCGGTTACCTGAAACTCATATTGATTTATGGGCTGCGCATCGAAAGTATCAGACAAATCACACCGTTTATTGAGCTTGTTTTCAACTTTAGGTGTGAGAGAAGAAGTAAGTTTCGCAGCACTTTCTCGACGATAAAAAAACCACCGTGTTAGTGTATTCTTTATTACCTCAATCAATGAGACAATGGGTAGCTCACGAGGCTTTTTGAACACAACATTTATAGACTCGGCCATCTCAGCAAACTTCAAACCATATCAGCAAACTTCAAATCATCCCTAATCGTGAATAATTTACCTCTTTTTTTAGTATTCACGATGAATTTCCATGATTCTTTTTTCACTTGCCATTCACCAAAAACTCCAGCGATATGCACCATTTTTCTGTATAAATAAAAAACAAAACAAACCATTTTGAGAATAAAAAGAGAAGAAGTATAATACTACGACAAATATAAATCAAGAACGAAAGAAAAAAAATCTACCAATTTGTGAATAGTGATTTTGACGGCGTGAGTGCAAATGAGTGTGATCTGTGTTTTACAGAATCTGAAGTCTCGTTGAATTGAGTTAAAACGTTTTTTTAATTAAAATATTGTTTGGTAATTAAAGTTAAATAAAATAGAAACTAACTAGATATTCTTTGTGCAGAATATCTAAATATATATACATATATATATGTTTAAAATATATTACAATCTAAATAAAAAATTACTTCAATTTCAAATTATGGTTAATTTTGTTATTTTACTTATCAATAAGTGTAGATTTCAAAAAAAAAAAAATTGGTGTATTTTTCAAATTAAAAACTCATGATAAGGTATTTTTTTCAAATTTTCTCAAATTTTAAAGCTATGAACTTTTTTTTTATTTGAGTGTCTCTATAGTTGTTTTTTTTTTCAACTGTATCAGGGCAACAACATCAATGTATTCGAAGGCAAAATGATAATATTTAGTGAGGATCTTCCGCAAAGACTTAGCTAGGTGGTGATCAGAACCTTGAAGATACATTCAACAGTTTGCATGAAAGCGTTCTTAGAAGGATTTTGAATTATTTCCCAACTCAAAACAAGTTGATGTAATATTTCCGAACATAAATCAAACCAAGAAGAGTTACAATTCAAGCAAAAGCATCGAGAATCTTATGGACAATGGGACGAGTTTTACACATGGCTTGTAACGGTGTAGCTGGACGCATCATAGGTGCCTCTCTAGTGTCAATATATTCTTCTCCAATTCTCTCCCATTTGAAACATTGAACCATCGATCCGAGAGCCAAGCTCACTAACCGATGAGTTAATCCAACCCCGGGACATGATCGTCGTCCAATCCCAAACGACAACACCTTTTGATTTTCCTTTTCATTTTCGAACCTCTCTGGCTTGAACATTTCTGGATCTTCCCATATATACGGGTCTCTATGCATGGCCCATACGTTCACCAATAACATCGACCCACAAAGAACGTCGTATCCAGCTAAAATGCAATCATCTGACGTCATATGTGGAACAAGTGTAGGAGCTACAGGGTGAAGACGTAAGGTCTCCAACACAATCCCTTGGAGATAAGGAAGATTTTTAATATCTTGTTCATCTATTAACCGGTCAAAACCGATTTTGGTATCGATTTCGGTTCTTGCTTTCGTTAATACCTCTGGATGATTCAACAAATTCAACATAGCCCATTCTAATGTTCCTATTAGTGTTTCAGTTCCGGCAAGTATCATAACCTGTAAAAATTAAATTAACAGATGTTTAGTTTATGTTGTTATATATTAAATAGATTATTCAAGATTAATAAATGTAGAAAATAAATACTTACAACTATAATCCCCTTTAGAGTGATATCTGTGTAATAATTAGGTTGGATTTCTTGGAGAGAAAGCAAGTGATCCATCATTAGTGTCGCCCTTTTCTTTATCCGCACGTTTTTTCAATCCACAGGGCTCTGCTAGAACTCATTCGACCCTACCCGGCTAAGTTCTTGAACCCGTTTCTCAAAACTTGTGATCCAACGCAAGATTGGGATATAATCGGTAGCATTCCCGGCGCCGGCGTAGGATACCACCTCGTCAATAAGCTGTCTCACTTGCTCTGTTCCATCACCATAAAATCTTTTCCCAGCCATCATTCTGAGAATGTTATTGATAGTCAAATCCATAAACAATGATCTCATCTCCACCTTCGCAAACCCCTAATTTATAATCAAATAAACAAATTATCAATTCTCAAACTTGTGTTGCACGGACTCAGGTTATGACCTAGTGGCCACACTAAGACACACTACTAGGTTACAAACTCTGATAATGTTTATAGAGTACAATCTTCAAGTTATGTACAAGCTCACATACATGCTGGGAGTTTTTGGAGAGACGAAGTAGCAAGTGTCGGATCTCGTCCTTACGGACAGATAAAAAGCCATTGAGCTTGTGCGAGGAGAAGATCTCGAGGGTACTGAGACGCCGCAAGTTTCGCCAGTGGTCACCATAAGGCGCACTGGTCACAGTGGTGAAGTTGTACTCAATGTATTTCCCGACTATGGACTCTGGCCGGTTGGCCAAAACGATGTCGTTTTCTGTGAAGCATTCTTCGGCGATGGAGTAGGAGGAGACGACAACGGCGAGACGGTTTCCGAGGCGGAGGGAGAAAATTGGGGCACTGTCGAGAGATTGAGAGAAGGATAGGAATGTGCGGTGGAGAGGCTGCTTCAGGAGGTGAAGGTGTCCAATCAACGGTAGTGGCCTTGCCGGACTTGGTGGTAGGTTAAACTTGCTGTGCCGTTTACCAAACAAAGGTTTTAGAGAAATGAAAAAGAAGATGGCAAGGGATAAAATTAGAAAGTAAGTTTCCATTTTAGATTAAGAACTTCTTCTTGTTGTAAATGTGTTGAATCGAACATGGAAGTTATTAGTTTATGTAGCTTAGTTTATAATGAAAACTCTCATGCAATTATCACACCTGTCACTAAAGATATCTTTTTTTTTTAATAAACTAAAAATATGTTCGTAACGTCTCATTCATTAATGACTAATAAATATGTGTAGGTCACCCTTAATAATAATTTATGATTTGTTTATTTTTAATCACTATGGTTTAAACCAAAAACGTAAACGCTAGCAATATATATTGTCTATAATATTAGAAAGAAACAAATTTCTACTCAAAACCCTATTAATTAAAAGCAAAATAAATAGACTATCAATATTAATGGAGACTTATTACACATGTTTATTAGTCAGTAATTGCATGAGACGTTACGAAGTTATGAACATATCTCTAGTGACAGGTGGAATAATTGCATGAGAGATTCTATTATAAAACAAGCTCCCTTTTCTTAACCCTTCCTCAACAAAAAAAAAACTAATAAATTGGAAAAATTTCTTCACCCTTTCTCAAAGTAAAAAAAAACTACTCCTCATTCATAATTTTAGAAATTTAGAAGTGAGTTTATTTGATAATGGAGTAGCCTTTAACTTCTAAATTTTGGTTTTTGAAAAAAAAAATAGTTTTTGAATTTTAATAAAATCGAAAATCTAAAGGTAAATCAAAGACTAGTCTTTGTCTTTCATTTTAATTACATCTCAAAATGGATATAACATAAATGGATATACATATTTTTTTAAAAAGGGAGTGACATCTCAAAAAGAAGCATTGAAAATCTTATGAACAATAGGACGAGCTCTACACATGGCTAGCAACGGCGTCGTTGGACGCATTGTGGTTGCTTCACTTAGGTCAACATATTCTTCTCCAAGTCTCTCCCATTCAAAACATTGAATCATCGATCCGAGAGCCAAACTCACGACCCGTTGAGCTAGACCAGACCCGGGACAAGCTCGTCGTCCCATTCCAAACGGCATCAACTTTTGTTCTTCTCCTTTCTTCTCGAACCGCTCTAACTTGAACTTTTCTGGCTCTTACCATATGTTTGGGTCTCGGTGAATGGCCGGCCCATACGTTCACGATTAATGTCGTGCCAAGAGGGAAGTCGTAGCCTCCAACTATACAATCATCTGTAGCCCTATGAGGAGCAAGTAAAGGAGCTGCCGGGTAAAGTCGAAAAATCTCTGATATGATGCATTGGAGGTAAGGAAGACTTTTCGCATCCTGTTCATCTATTAACCTGTCCAAACCAATGTTTGTATCGATTTCAATCCTCGCTTTCTTTAGTACTTCTGGATGGTTCAACAGATTTAGCATCGCCCATTCTAACGTTCTTGTTTATGTTACATTTCCAGCAAATATCATAACCTATCCAAATAGAAGTCAAGAATTAGTCATTATAAAAAGCTTAGTTAGCCTTGTTAGTTGTTAGTGATGTATTAAATGTATTCCTCAATACTTACAACTATGAGTCCTTTGACGATGACATCCGTATAATAATTTGGTTGAGTTTCTTGGAGAGAAAGCAAGTGATCGATCATAGTGTTACCCTTTTCTTTTTGTGCACGTTTCTCATCAACTAGAAAGTCATCGATCATAGTGTTGACTCACTTTACATCTGTTTTGAAATGTTTTTTTTTGTCGACTTAAAAAAATGTTTATATTTAAACCGGCAATAACCGGATTTTATTATCAAAAGTTAAAACCAGTCGGTATTTAAATCAGAAGGATTCAAGAGATTATTTGTTTTCTTGCTTCAGAGATCTTCAATTGGGAGAAAACTCGACTCTTCGATCAATGAATCTGTACCTCCGTAGCTGCTCTTCCCTTCATTATTGCTATTGCTATTTTGTATTTTCTTTTATAAAGTGAATACAAGCTTAGCTAGTAACGCATGCATATGAATTTACTACGTAATGATGTTATTTGATTTGCCATCTGATGTTACCAATTGATATGTTATTTGTAATAGATGTTACTTAATATTATTCATTTCTTCTTGGATATATAACATAACTAAATCTACATAAATGTTCGAGTGTCCATATGATTTTATCATATTGTTAAATTTTGTCATCTCGAAAATAT